CACCACCACGCGCATGCCTCGCGGCGGATATGCGCAGCAGCAAGAAGGTTTCGGTCATCCCTTGAGGGTGAGTCTAGCCCTGCTCGCCAGAAAGACCCCCCCCTTCACTACAACCCATGTCTAAGCAAAAGCTTGTCGAGGAGCGAGGGGAAGAAGGGAGAAGAGAGGTTGTTCTAGCTTATTTTCTAAGCAGTTTTGACGGTGTGTGTATGGGTAGGGGGAGTACTCCCTGTGTCCGTGTCGTTCCCAGATGTTGTCGCATCAAGTGGCAGCATGTCTCATGGACAGGTAGACGTGGAAGGGCGGCGACAGGTGAACGGCAGCAGCAGTATGTTGTGCATGGGGGCATGTTGGGCTTGTACAAAGACGCAGTCCGTCTTCGACCACACACGAAGGAGTTTGTTCGTACCTGTCGGAGTTTTGGAGGGCCCAAGTCAGTCTCAAGCAGCAGTAGGAAGGAGCGAACAGGCGCAGTGCTTCTCTACAGCTTTTGTTTTTGGTTGTCATTGAACCTGACGTATTCCGGCGGACTGTTGGGCATGGTAGGCCCAGCAGCCCATAAAGATTCAGTGCAAAGTCTTTCTGACATCCCAAGGGTGGACAAAAAGTCTTTCTGCACACCTACCCGATACCCCCCCCTCCCCCTGGAGGGGGACGAAAAAACTTTTGATCTTTTCGTGGTACATTTTGTTGTAAAGGCCTTGTTGGCTTTCTCCCTGTCTATCGCGTGTGCTTGCGTGTGCTGGTGTTTACAGCACGCAGAAGTGCATAACAAGGACCTTGTTACCAGGTAGCTGTTTGATAGGTTTTGAGATGTGTACATTCGGCGCCGGAAGATTGTTACTTCGTGTAAAAATAGTCGTGGGGGCTATTAGTTGGTTGTCAGTCTTGGGAGCACAGTGCTTGGGGACACCCCCCCCCCCTCAAGCTAGAAGTATCTTCGATCGAACTTTTCATGCTTCTGCGACAAGTCCGCGACATTTGGCCTTGGGCGAACATATATGGCGAAATAACACGACGCACCAGAACCAAAGGACGCATAAATAAAAGCATACTCAAGCCCACAACATGCCGAAGAGGAGCTGCCGATGAGCCTTCGGCGGCGGTGGCATCACCTTCACCACGTGCAACACCCGTCCACAATTAATTATAGTTGCAATTGCCATGCGTTCAAGAACTTTTTCACTCCCCCAAGCCCCTTCACCTCCCTCAACAAGACTAAGCCGTCGTTTCTTCGAGCGCTTTCTCGCCCCGAGTGCCTTCGCCCGCCCTCCTCGTCCCCCCTCACCCCCACACCCTACCCTCCCCCTTCTTCTCCTCCTCCTCCCTCCCTTCCCCAAGCTCTCTCTCCCTCTCTCTCCTCTGCTATACGGAGAGTGTCGGGTTTTTTATTTTTGTGCGCCCTTGTAGACTACATCCCAAAGGAAATCACTATAAGTTATACCATTCATTCCGTCGCACTACTTGAAAATAGAGGAGGTGGAGTTTTTTTTCGATTTATTTATTTATTTTTTTTCTCGCCCACGCTGCACAAACCTTACGTGAAACTGGACACGACAGCCTTGGGCTGCCCCCGACCGCCAATACGTTTGACCAACGGAACAACTACTCTCACACTTGAGCACGGTCGTGATGGATGAGTGTGGTGAGGATTTTCTAGACATACATGCGGTATCTTGAGCGGGCACGATTACGTACACTGAGCGGCAACCAACGGATAGTTATTGCCGCTGTACAGCACACACATCCATATATTGTGGCGTGTGTACACGGCAGATCAGTGTGGACTTTTGTTCAAGCACGTCTCTCATGTGTTATTAGGGTTCGGGTGGTTAGGTCGCGCGCCTTGGCGAGTTCGCGAGTTAGCGAGTCTGAAAGGTAAACTACGCGGGGTGCAGCAAGCACGTTTTGGACGTTACTTTGGGGCACTGGGTAGTCGGCCGTGTTAGGCCGAGAGAGAGAGAGGTTGAGAGAGAGTTGGAGAGAGAGTGGGAGAAGGAAACTTGATTGGAGAGAGACGGTGGTGGTGGTGGTGGAGAGAGAGGAAAGAAGTGCGCAGCACCCACGCAAGCCTCATCATCGCACCGACCACGCCCAAAGGGTCCCCGTGACTGCGCCAGTGGTACGCTTCAACACATGAAATTCCCAACACATATCCCCCTGGGATCCTCACGACCAGATACTGCTGCGAGTATATCTAACATCTCCCTGCCCGCAACAGTTTCTCACTGAAAACTTCGCTAACACCCGATATCTCAACCAAAAGACGTCTTTCCCAGAATGTATACCATGAAGACTTGACCGGAATATTATAAGAAAGACAAACAATTCAAAGAAATATGATTGCTGCATCGTNAAGGAAACTTGATTGGAGAGAGACGGTGGTGGTGGTGGTGGAGAGAGAGGAAAGAAGTGCGCAGCACCCACGCAAGCCTCATCATCGCACCGACCACGCCCAAAGGGTCCCCGTGACTGCGCCGGTGGTACCCTTCAACACATGAAATTCCCAACACATATCCCCCTGGGATCCTCACGACCAGATACTGCTGCGAGTATATCTAACATGTCCCTGCCCGCAACAGTTTCTCACTGAAAACTTCGCTAACACCCGATATCTCAACCAAAAGACGTCTTTCCCAGAATGTATACCATGAAGACTTGACCGGAATATTATAAGAAAGACAAACAATTCAAAGAAATATGATTGCTGCATCGTGCTTAACAAATACTTGGCGCGGGAAATGAAACAAAACGGGAAACAGAACAAGACCAAAACACAACCCATCAGAAAAACAATGAAATGTTCATACCAAATTCATCACAAAATCACGGCGAGACTCGAAAGCATCCTTCGACAAACTCTTCGTAAGAAAGTCTGCACGCTGGTACGGCGACGACACGTGGATGACCGAAATTTCCTTCCTGTCTACCAGTTCCCTGAGAAAATGGTGCCTTACATCTATGTGCTTCGAGTTCGAGCTTGAGATGGGGTTCTGCGCTAGTTGAATCGCCCCCTGGTTGTCCTCGACGACGGGGATGCACGGCATGCCGACCTGCGGCAACATGAAACGCCAAATCTGCCTCAAAAACAAAATCTCCTTCACTACGTCACCAAGCGCGACGTACTCTGCTTTGGTGGTCGAAAGCGTGACACACTTCTGCGTTCTGGAAAACCGAGACACAGCGCCTCCTCCACACGTCACGATCCCCCCTGATACCGACCTACGGTCTGCTGCCTTGCCTGCAAAGTCCGCATCAGCGTACCCCTGTAAGCTGAATCCCTCCACCGTACCTCTGTGAAACGAAATACCAAAGTGACTCGTCCTCCTCGCATAGCCTAATATATCCATCGCTGCATTCCAGTATACCAGCTTCGGAGATGCGCAATACCTAGCTACTGCCCTTACTACATTCGCAATANGATACCGACCTACGGTCTGCTGCCTTGCCTGCAAAGTCCGCATCAGCGTACCCCTGTAAGCTGAATCCCTCCACCGTACCTCTGTGAAACGAAATACCAAAGTGACTCGTCCTCCTCGCATAGCCTAATATATCCATCGCTGCATTCCAGTATACCAGCTTCGGAGATGCGCAATACCTAGCTACTGCCCTTACTACATTCGCAATATCTGGCCTAGTCTGAGTCGCCAGCCACATCAACGATCCTACCAGCTCACGAAACGGAATGTCTGTCGCCACCTCATCCGCATCAAAATCAGAAAGCTTCACCCCCGAAGACATCGGAACGCTCTTACCTCCCACTTCCATATTCTGCTATTAGCTCATCCGTGCAAGTCTGGAGTAATCGTCAACCTACCGGTCTCCTTGTTTCTCTCGTAAAAGCACCCAGAATACCATCTCAACTCTCCCAGGTTCTTCACTGGCACGGACTTGTTAAGGTCGGCGCCAAACTTGTCACATCTCTCCCTCTCTCCCACAGCAAAAATGTCATCTACATGTACTACCAAAATCAAAACAACACATCCATCCTCAATCAAACGAAACACACAAGCATCGGCCATGCACTGCTCAAAACCTAACGCCACCAAAAACCTCTTCAGCATTGCATGCCACTGCCTAGATGCCTGTCTCAAGCCATACAGACTCTTGCCTAGTTTTTCAATCATTCCAGATAGAGTTCCACATCCCTGCGGCAAACGCATGTACACGTCTTCCTCCAATTCCGACCGAACAAAAGCTTGCTCAATATCGAAATGACACAAGTCGAGGTTCATCTTGCACGCCAAAGCAGCCAACATCCTAGCACACGAAACAGAAACGGTAGGCGCGTACAACTCTCCAAAGTCAATGTACTCTCTCTGCATGTCACCTCTCGCTACAAGTCTCGACTTAACCTTGGTGGGCCATCCAAACTCATCTGCCTTCCAATCGAATACCCACTTAGCGTTAATTGCGTTCTCCACTAATTGCTACTTCACCGGAGTAAAAGTCCCCGCTTCCAACAAGCCATAAAACTCCCTTTGAATAGAGTCGCTCCACAGGGGCCGGTGCTCCGACGCCATGGCCTCTTTGTAGCTCTTGGGGACACGAAGGTCGCTGGCCTGGCAGTGAGGAAGGTCAGGAAGTTGCTCCGGCGGGCGCTGGTCTCGCAGCGTGGCGTCGATGTCTTCCCGGTTGGCGAGGAGCGTGGGAACTGCGAGTGGAAAGCCCGCTCCTCCAGCCCCCGGGTCCACAGCTGCGAGTGCTCCCGCCTGCCCTCCGGTCCCCGCTCCCCCCGGCTCTCCGGCCTCCGCCCCCCCCCAGCTCCCTGCGTTCCTCGTCCACCGCGCTCCGAGCCTCCAGCATCGACACCAGAGTATTCTTGTCTAGCATCGAGATGAGTCTTGTGCTGTGCCTTGTGCCCGATCTCGTACGGCTTGGCAGCCGCGGGTCTGTCATACCCTCGGCCTTTGTACCCGGGCGAAGCCGCCGCATGGCGTGAGCCGTAAGCGGGGGCATCGCGGGGTCCGGCGGCGGCGGCTGGTCTGGGTCGGGGGTCGCCGACGGTGACGGCGAAGCGGCAGAGCACGTTTGGCCAGGAGCGGGGGTCGCCGACGGTGACGGCGAAGTGGCAGTGGGCGGTTGTGAAGGCGTGGGAGCGGGCGGCGGCGTGGGCGCTGGCGGCGGCGGTGCTGCGGTCGAAGGCGTCGGTGCTGGGCAAAAGTTGATCGAGACGACCGGCGGCGTGAACGGGGGGGATGTCGGTGCAGCGGTGATACCAGCGGAACCCCCCTCACCGGCTGGCGCCGACGTCACCCACGACACGTTGTTGGTGTAGACGACGCGGCCGGTGGACGCCTTGAGGACCTTGACGGTGCCGCTCGGGTGGTTGTCGCCGCCGTTCACGTAGTAGCAGAGGGTGGCCTGGTCGTCGAGCTTGGTGCGGCGATCCTCACGCATGAAGCCGGGCTGGAAGAACGGCAGCACGCGGAAAGGCCCCTGCTCGCCGGTGAACATCTCGTGCGGCGAGCGCCGCCCGGGGTTGGCCTTGGTCGCCGACTGGTTGAGAGCGTCGGCGGCCCATTTCGCCGATTCCATCCAAAGACGGTCACCGCGCTCGTCGAGGCCGGGGATGGAGGCGAAGTCGACGTTGAACACACGGCCAGCGCTGCGGCGAGCGGCCATGCCGGCCTTCATGATGCGCCAGATGGCGCTCTCGACGACGCCGTTGTACTGCGGAACGCCAGGAGGGGTGAACTCGACGCCGATGCCGTTGTCGTCGCAGAAGCGCCGGAAATCGCCGCGGGTCCACTCTGGGCCGTTGTCGACGCGGAAACATTCGATTCGTCCGAGGTCGTACCGCCCCACGTCCGCCAGCAGCCTTTTCGTTGCCGCCAGCGCGTCGGACTTCCGCCGGAGACCGTAGACCTTGTTCTACCGCGAGGCGCTGTCCACGGCGACGAACAGGTAGAGGTTGCCGCCCAGGGAAGGCACCAGCGGTCCACACAGGTCCAGGTGAACACGCCCGAGTGGCTTGGACGCCCGCGCTCCCGGCCCCCGCGGCACCGACCCTCGCCTGCCCTTCGCCTTCATGGAGTCCGTGCACGGTTCCAGCTTGCCCGTGAGCACGATACCTCTCTGCTGGGCAGTTTCTCTCAATAGAGGCTTGCAAGCGTGGGCAAGCGAGCGGTGGAAGCGGTTGATGTCAACGGACTTTTCAGTCGAACCAAGAGCAAACGGGGACGCACCAGGGCCAAGCGCGGCCGCACCCAAGTCAAAATCAGCACCCCCATCAATGCTATCCAAAACACCAGCCACATCCGCAGCGTCACTCTCTGGGATAACCACGGGGAAAAAATCTTGATACGGGATGTCATCATAGCCATCCATGAGCTGCTCGTCGGTGAGCACACTCGTATCTCCAAGATCCATACCCGGAAAAGTACCCACACACACGAACTCGGACGCCGAGGAAGGTACTACATCGGCAGAGCCGGCGGGCGGGATGCTCTCACTCGCAGGTACTACACTGGTGGGACCAGTGGGCGGAATACGCAATATTGACACCAATGATTTCGCGGAGCCCCCCTTTTGGAAAGGGGAACGAGCGGAGTCAACGGCGGGGGCGGAATCGGGGGGCCGTCACGAATGCGGGCAAAGCAGCAGGGTCTACAATAGTCGCAGATGGATCGTACGGCAACCGCATGGCATACGCTGCAGACGCTTTTTCCTCTCTAGCAAAGAGCAGCCCATTTTGTAGGGTTGCACCACGTTCGTCGTAGTGGATTGGTTGCTTCAGAGAAACAGCATGCGTTGAGAACGAGTTGAATCTCAGGCTCTCTACAACAGACACGTCAGTGAGCTTCACACACATCGTCGTTTCTCATCATTCTCATCCTCCTGAAAGAAACCAAGATTAATACTACCGATGGCTTGCACTTCTAGCAGTCGACCATCACCTACAACGACATACTTCCTACTGGCGGGGATCTCTTGCAGGTCATACATGTGTAGGCTGCTGTTGGTGAAACTATTGCTGGCTCCTGAGTCAACTACCTATCTCTCGCTACCAGGCGGCCCCTCACTAGATTTCACACTCAGAAAAGACGAAGCAGACGCAGCAGACTCTACTCCAATCGTCACTCCTATCCTACTGAAAAAATCGTCAGGGTGAGACTTGCCTATGGGCACCGATTGTGCCGTGCAGAGGTGGAGGTAGCCCGAAGATGGAGGCGCGCCAGGAGAAGGAGTAGAGGACGAGGAGGAAGCGGTGCTGCTGCTGCTCGCGGGGGGGGGCTGACGTTGCTGCTCGGATGACGAATCTTCGCCGGCGGGAGGGTAGTAGACGTAGTGGATGCCGCCGTCAGATGAACGGCTGTCTTCGTACCCTGAGGAGTAGCTGTAGCTGTCCCTACCGCCGGCGTAGTAGGCGTACCCGGCGTCGTGGTAGCCGTCTTCGTAGTAGTAGCCGTCGTCGTAGTCGCCGTAGTCGTCGTAGTAGCCACCATCATCGTGGGCGTAGTACACAACGTACGCCTGCTCTCTTCCGTGGCCAGAACGCGTGCCCCGGGCCTCTCCCTGCCGGTTCTCTCTCGGCACGCCCATCGCTGCTGTGGCGTCCCGCGGGCCCACGACCCCCCGGGTGACGCCCCAGACGCCCACAGGCCCACGTCCACGAAGAGGTCTCAGGGGGGGTGAGGCTTGGCTCCAGCCATCGCCACCATGACCGGTGTGGCGCTGCTGCTCTTGTAGCCTCACCCATCGGCCGCCACCGCGGCCTGGCCCCGGCGGCGGTCTACCCCCTCGCTGGCTACCGCCGCCACCGCGGCTGCCGCCGCCCGAGCGGCGTTCCGCGGCGCCCTCTCTCGAACGCGCGCGCCGCAGTTGCTGCTGGAGACGACACTGCTCGTTGGTGTGAAGCTCGGACTGGTGGTAGCGGCAAAATCCGCCGGGTTCGTCGTTGAACATGTCACTATTTTTCTTCTCTCCGTCACGATTTTGGCCGCCAGCTGCTGCGTGACCCCCGTCTTGACCCCCGGATGCCCCCCCACTGCCCCCGCCGCGCCGGCCCATGCCGGACGCGGCGAGAGCGAGCTCCACCTCGCGCCTCTCCCCCTTGCTCCTCTCGCGCTCCATCTCCACGTGGGCGTCCCTCACCACGGTCTCAAGGGTACGCAACGTCAGGACATCATCGGCAAGCAGTATTCCTTTTTGCACGGCATACAACGAAGAGGGAAGGCCACGAGCAATGTCTTTGTTGGCATCTGTTTCATCCTTAATCGTACCTACAGATGCGAGACGCAGGCGAAGGGCCTCTGAGCGGGCCATGTAATCCTGTGGACTCTCGGACTCTCTCATCTCCAACTCCTTCCAGTCCTGCTCCACCCTCGACTTTTCTGACTGCTTTTTGTCCTGATAGAAGTCTGTCACGATTTTCTAGCCCTTTTGGGGACTCTCACACGCCAGAATCAAGCTCTGAATCGGGGGATACAAAACCTTGCTAATCAGGATATTCCACAGTTTGCATGACTTGTCTACCACTTCCCAAAAAGTCTCCGAAGGTCTCCTATATTCACACCCCTCTTTCCGACCTTGACCTCGACCTCCAGTTCCAACGCATCATGCACACCCTCCTCCTGAAAATATGAAATGTTCTTACTACGAAAAATATCAAACATAATATACAAATCCTGCTCATTCTTCACGCTACCAAGCCAAGGTTCTAATTTTGAACCAGGATTGACACGTAACGTGCCTGAGCGGGCAAAGCCCTGTTGTTCAGCGATGACCTCAGCTGTCGCCTTGGCCGCTTGCGCCACGATGTGTGCGACGCTGCTGGGGTCGTTGAAGGTAGCTGTTTTACCCGGGCTGGAGGGTGACGGCTGGCTGCCCGTAGGTGGGACAGGGTTGCCGGCTGATGGTAGTTGGGCGTAGGTGACTTCACCCTCGTTGATCCTGCTGGCTTCAAGTTCGGCTTGTACTCGTTGCTGGACGATCTCCTCCACTTTTTGCTGTAGCTCTTCCCCGCTAAGGGCGGAGAGGTCGATGCCCTCCATGGTTTATGTTGTTGTGGGAGTCTACCGATTGTACGTGACTGCACAACCCCCGGGAGGCTACGCCCGCGCGCAGATACCGTGATATCGTCGCACAAGTGTGAAAGGTAAACTACGCGGGGTGCAGCAAGCACGTTCTGGACGTTACTTTGGGGCACTGGGTAGTCGGCCGTGTTAGGCCTAGAGAGAGAGGTTGAGAGAGAATTGGAGAGAGAGTGGGAGAAGGAAACTTGATTGGAGAGAGACGGTGGTGGTGGTGGAGAGAGAGAGGGAAGAAGTGCGCAGCACGCACGCAAGCCTCATCATCGCACCGACCACGCCCAAAGGGTCCCCGTGACTGCGCCGGTGGTACCCTTCAACACATGAAATTTCCAACACGTATCCCCCTGGGATCCTCACGACCAGATACTGCTGCGAGTATATCTAACAGAGTCAATCCGTGAAAACATACGTGACAGCCGCGTATGCACACCAGCACCTGTGGAACCCTCGTCCAATCGAGGGAATATGTTCGAGCTCTGAGGAGCCCTCGTGTTAGTTTCCTAACCTCAGAGATGCAAGACCGTTGGTTAACACACCACACAGTTCTTCATTATTCAAGACTGACCTCGACGAGGCATCCACATATACATGTTCATCGTCGAAGTCACGCCGCATTCCTCTTCATGCACGTTACACGTGAACCGACACTGACGTCCTCCTAGAATGAATCATATACGACCTTGTAAACTGCCGCAATAGTTCTGTGTCCTACATTATTCCACAGCACCCTCCAAAGCAAAGTACTACTTCAAAGTAGATTTATACGGAAGCTTGACAACAAATAAATCGACACTGACATCGCGTCATACCATTGAATGATAACGGCCTCAGCCTCCTAGTTTTTCCTCCTTAAGTTATTAATGATAATACTTCACAAATGAACCCGTCAAATAGACTACAGATAGATACCATATTCCGACTGCAACCTAGCACGAACTCCTTGGTCCAGATCCNAAGACTGACCTCGACGAGGCATCCACATATACATGTTCATCGTCGAAGTCACGCCGCATTCCTCTTCATGCACGTTACACGTGAACCGACACTGACGTCCTCCTAGAATGAATCATATACGACCTTGTAAACTGCCGCAATAGTTCTGTGTCCTACATTATTCCACAGCACCCTCCAAAGCAAAGTACTACTTCAAAGTAGATTTATACGGAAGCTTGACAACAAATAAATCGACACTGACATCGCGTCATACCATTGAATGATAACGGCCTCAGCCTCCTAGTTTTTCCTCCTTAAGTTATTAATGATAATACTTCACAAATGAACCCGTCAAATAGACTACAGATAGATACCATATTCCGACTGCAACCTAGCACGAACTCCTTGGTCCAGATCCATCTTACGCAACTCCAACCTTACCAATTGCGGAGCATCTTCCCATATCTTTCTCAACGGCTCCCACGTGCTTTCATCGCGCTCGAATCCGGCCCATTCTACCTTGACTTGTACCGTCCTCATTTTCACCAATACCTACAATAGCAGACATCGTGAACTCGCCCTGTGTGTACGCATGCTGAAAAACATGCTTCATCTCGGAAGTCACTTTTAACTCGCTATCCGAATAAAACCTTAGTCGAGCTACATGCACGTCGTGTACGTCCCCTGAAATGATGTTTTGCACTCCGTATACATGCTTACTCTTTGCCTCGACCACTTTCCATGGACCGGTCCAGGCCATCATAAGCTTCGACGTCGAACCCGGTCTACGTACCCGCGCCCTGAGTACGAAATCACCAACCTCAAAATTAGGTAGCTCGCCACGACTAGCATGCCCCCGTTGTTTTTCGCGATTATGTTTGACCATTTCCTGCACCTGTTTATGCATTTCTCGTTGAACAGCCGCTACATCAATCACGTTTCGTTTGAGTCCGTCGTCATCTAGCACGTCTATTTGCCAATCTTCTCCAGTCGCAGACGCTAGCGTGGAAAAACTAGTTCGCGGTGCCCTACCAAACATGACATGATACGGTGTGCTCGCGTACCGTTGACGATAAGCCGTATTCAGTGCCCACTGTTCAGCCGGGACCTAATCTACCCACTCGCTCAAGTCGCGTCTTTCTTCCTGCAAAACTGCCTTCAATCATCGTACAATTTCTTTCATCATGCGTTCTACTGTTCCGTTACTCCGTGGCATATTTACTACCGCGGATTTGTGCTTTACCGTCAGAGCTTGTTCAAGTTTGCTCATGGTTTGATTCTTAAAGTGCGATGCGGTATCGCTGACCCACATCTGCTGTACACCCAAAGTCTTACACCAGTTGAGCAAAATCTTGGCTGTTAGAGCGGCCGTGCACGGCTCCGTTGGTTCTAACCACACGAAGTTGCTAAGATCATCCATCACCACCAATATGTATTTGAATCCAACGCCTTCATCCAAGCCTTCGATATTCAACGGCCCACTCTGGCCAAATACATATAGTCAAAATGAATTACTTTGCCCGGCCTTGTACCATGCACTGTTTCTCCAAGCGGCCTTGGGATCATTNGACCCACATCTGCTGTACACCCAAAGTCTTACACCAGTTGAGCAAAATCTTGGCTGTTAGAGCGGCCGTGCACGGCTCCGTTGGTTCTAACCACACGAAGTTGCTAAGATCATCCATCACCACCAATATGTATTTGAATCCAACGCCTTCATCCAAGCCTTCGATATTCAACGGCCCACTCTGGCCAAATACATATAGTCAAAATGAATTACTTCGCCCGGCCTTGTACCATGCACTGTTTCTCCAAGCGGCCTTGGGATCATTTCACCCGCCCTCGAATCTACACAATGCAAGCACTGTTTGACAAACTCTTTCACCTGGTTTTCCATGCGAAACCAACAGCAGTACTCTTGTAATCGCTGCAAAGTTGCCACCGTACCCCGATGTCCTGCGCCTCGCATATGAGCGCAGACCACGAGACGTTGTTGCAGTTGTTTGGCATCCTCAGGAATCCACATGACCTCGCGCCCCTTCACCTTGATTCGAAATATTCCTTCGCTATCCTTCACGGCCTTTCCATGTAGCGCCATGAAAACCTCCGCTCCATGCGCCCTAGTTCTGACTTGTTCGCGAGCACTCTGCTGAACTCGACGAATAATCTCTTTCGACGGCATCGTGGCGTCAGGTTCGCTCGGCGCAAACACAGCCACAGCCCTAACCTTCACTGCGGGAACATTGACCCACCTCGAAAGCAAGTCCCCCCAACAGTTCCTCTCGCCAGAGATGTGCATGATGGAATCTTGGAATTGCGCCAACACCATCTTCCACTGCTCCAGACGCTGGGCAGTAGTCTTCGGCAACGACGACACGCACGCATCAGGATTGAAAATGTATGCGAGATTGCGGTGGTCGGTGAATACATTAACACATCCCCACAGCAGGTAGTCCAGCCGCTTGCACGTACTGAAGATGGCGAAGCCTTCTTGGTCGACCGTCGCCCACCTCATTTGAGAGCCCTTGAACGTACCGCGAAGGAAGGCGAGCGGCTCATGGGTCATATCTTCCACGGATACTCCACGCTCCAGCTCTTCCTGCGGCACCTGTGTCAAGAAACAACCCCAATGCTCGTCAGACGCATGGGGAAACATCAGCACAGCAAAACCCTCCTTCGGATGTGACAACGCCACCGCATGTGCCACCAAATCCTGTGCCGATGTCCATGCCTCAGCCATGCCGGCAGTCCACGCCTCGCTCTTAGTCGCAATCCTCTTTGTCCGACGAGGTGCCGACGCCATGTGCTCCTCCAGCAAGCGTCGGAGAGGTTCCACCACCTCCGCCAGCCGCGACAACGCTGTTCGCAACCAGTTAACCGCCTGCAAAAATTGCATCAGTTCTCCTGCCGTCTCGGGCCTCCGCATGTCGGCCAATCCTTACAGGCGCGCAGGATCGTGGGCCACCTGTCCACCGGAGTACACCTTGCCACACCACTTGATCTTCGTATAAAAAAAAAGACACTTATGCGCAGCGGCGAAAATACCCTTGTCCTCCAGACGCCGAAGAATTTCGTCCAACGTGTTCAGCAGATCAGTCTCGTCGATACCCCACCATACAACGTCATCGACCCAGACCATGCAGTTCAATCCTTGCAGAACTCCGTCATCAGTGCGTGAAAGTATCCCGTCGCGTTGAGCACCCCTTGCGGGACGCGTTTTGGCTTAAATAGCCCGTCCGGTGTCACGATAGCAAACATTTCACGCGCATTCTCAGCTAACGGCATCTGCCAGTACCCTTG